ATTTACATATGATAAAGCATGCGGCGTTTTACCTTTATACCCAAGAAAAAGTCTCTTAAATAAGCTACGTGACTATGTTGAATGTTCACAAAGACTGCTTCTATGTTTTTTTTTACCCTGGTGGTCACAAGTTAGATTTGATCATAGATGTCTGAAAATGGGTGTGGCTTTTAACATTCCGGAACAGAGTTTGAAATGCCTCTTCTTTTCTAGAAGACGCTACTTTTTGATCGTTTTTAGGTCTAAATTATAGCGAGGAAAGAAATTTTTTTTGAGTCTCAAAAGGCCTGGCACACCCCCCCCCCCCCCCTTCATTCCTCTACAATTTATAAGAGTCTCCCCCTGGAGGCCCTTATAACGTAATGCTAACCTGTTGAATCTGCCTCATTTCGCAAAGGGATGTATTTTGCAGATTGTTTTCCTCGGTTCCATCGTGATGAGCTGGTTGGACAAGTGCTTGGCCTCATGCGTTTGGAATGAGGATCAGGTTCTGTGAGGTAATGAATGTTGTAGTTGATTAACAAAGGAGCTCTGGGGAAACGGTGCCTCGAATATATTTGACATCGAATATTCCAGGTTACCGAGGTGCTTTTGAATGATACGATGCTAACGTGATGAATCTTCATAAAAGTAGCGATATGAATGGATCAGTCCTGCCGCAACTTTTGGACGCGTCAATAGCTAGAAAATGTATTATATATTATATGATACAGAAACCCACTGGGTCTCCTTCTATGAGAACTGAGGTCGCACATGATTCATAATTGACATACCTGGCAGCTCATCATTCAATCTCTTAGTCTTTATCAAGAAAGGCTTGGACTTGATTTTTTCACTGGCTTCGCTGTCACCAAAGACAACTTGGACCAACAGTTCAAACAGGTTCCTCTCCTGTGTGTGAACTTTTGCTAATTTGTAGACTGGTCTTTCAGAACCCTCCATCTTGTAAACTGAGTCCAGATCTACCTGATGTTCCTGCTGAAAATCACGGGATGATGGGACAAATAACATACACTTCGTTTAAGTTGTTGATAAAATAAAACAGGTAACTGGATCGAAGAGAAGAAACTCGGATAGATTAGTGTTTCTAACACGTTATTATGGTATTCTTTAAACAGCACAGTTATCTAAGCATTGATTCTCCGAATACTTCTTGGAATAAGGTTTTCTTGATTTTTGAACACTCTGTCATTATAATCACCTTCATCATCGCCATTCACGTGGATTTCTAGGTGCATTTCTCACTCTTTGCATCTGATTTACTGACATTCAACTCACGCAGAATGTTAGAACACTTTAAAAGTTTGCAAACCTCAAGACATGGGCAAAGCGTGCCTAACAAACTTTTCTAGTGTTCATCAAAGATCCCAGTTAATTCGAAGGAAGGCTGACCGATACTGTTTCTACAGGTAAATTTGGGTTTACCCCACCATGGGGCTTTGACCAATCAGAGTGTGCGTAGTATCTCAGATATTTCATGATAAACAGTGACTGTAGGATATTGACTTTGATGTTGAGCGACACAAATGCTGATAAAAGCTCGGTCAATTAGTTTTTTTCGATAAAATGACGAAAAGCAAAAAATCTACACAGTTTCACTTACATATATATGACCGCTTTCCTTAACTTTCCTCAGAAAGTCAGTTTCAATCTCAACCATACCATTAGCATCCTTTTCTAACTTTGCAGCATTTTCCTCTCTTCTTACCCAGGCCTTCACCTTTTTAATCGGACGCTCACATCGTACTAGAAACTTCACCTTTCCATTAATGATTCTCTGGCGTGCTTTCTTGTCTTTACGGCTCTGTTGCTTCTCAAATACACGATCTTCCAGATCACAAAACTTTACTTCCACTTCTGGACGCAAATATTGATCGATATCGATCTTGGAGCCGGAATTAAACGGCGTGATTCCAGCCAAGTCACTCGACACATCTTGTCGAGGATACCTTCTAATTCGATCACTTTGTGCAAAGCCAAAGGGAGAAGTTCCACCACCGTCACTAGTCAGAAAATTCGGCGAGGATATTATTTGGCCAGCGTTTTGACTATAAAGAAACGGAGGCCTGTCCTGTTGGCTGCCCGTCCCGAAGATTCTCGGGACACTCGATGTCATAGCGGAACCACCCGAAGTGTTTCCGGCGATACTCAACGCTGAAGATAACGACCGTACATCCGTACTACCAGAGCTTTCAAAGAAGCCGGAAGAATAATCAAGGGTAGGTGAATGACAAGGAAACTCTTGCCCCTGTGTTATTTCATCGAGGATACTGCTCACTTGAACTGGAGATATGCTGAGTGGCGCGTTCTGTCCAGTACCTTCAGTATGGATGTTTTCAGCTAAGTTTCGCAGAAAGTTGGTTTGTTGCTGAACAGAAACCTCATCATTATTCCCCAAGAATGAGTCACCCTGACGATGCATTGAGCCGGAAAATTGAGGTTCTGTAAACAAATATACGATAACGTTTGGAAGGTTTAAAGACAAGCCATTACTTCAATTGAGTGAAAAATCAAGTACTTGAGCGATTTTAAATTAAGCTTTAATTTTTAACTGATGTAAGCTGTCTTTCAGTTGTTCATTCTTCTCAAAACGAATGTAACGAATATTATCATCTAACTGCTGAAGGAGTAATTCTAAATAATGAACCAGTTTGAATACAGATTGCTGACACGACAAATATGGTCAATAATGAATTCAAAGTCATGTTCTAATTTTTTGTGTGCTACAACTGAAGGCTGAAATATTATTAAAGGAAGTGAAAAGGTCTTACAGGAAATGCTTCCCAAATTTTCTACTTTGAAAGGTGAATATTTGATTTGAGGTTCCGAAACTCCCTAAGCAGGTGTCTTCAAGTCATAATTCTAACTAAGCGTGTCTTATTACAATCAAAAGCAGGAAAAGTCGACAAGTCCCTTTCCTAGAAAAGAATCAGCTTTACTCTCATTAAAAAGTGGTTGTTAAGTATTTAGATTTGCCCTTAAATAGAAGTGAGCCCAAATAACGAGTGTAAAGCTCTGTCGAATTAATGATCATTTATCTCGTGTGGTTCGTAACTACAGCGTCTCATCTCTAGTCAAAAATTTTGTTCTCTTTATTTGCCAAGGCGTTAAAAGGTCAAACTAAGTGTAATTCACGAACCAAAAACCTCTATTTTGATGATTTGCCATCACTGGATACTGATCTAGAGGTAACAGTAGGCTAGTTCACTGATGAAAAAGGAAATAACATCGATACTACTACAATTAAAAAGCAACATCGCTAAAGCTAGACAAATTGATTTTTTTTAAACTTAACTAAAGATAAAATTGGAATGTGTCAGTTATTAACCCCTTACCGTTGTTTGGATGGTGAGGGAGCAGTCTTTCTCGTAGCGAACTCATAGTCTCTGAAATTAATCTCCCGTTTCAGGCCATTAACCAAGTCTCCACCAGCTTTCCCTTGTTTATGTTGTTTTGTTTTCGCAGCGCAAAGACGAATTTGCTTACCCACGAAACTTTCGTAAAGTTGGTACGAGCCATAGACAAATAAATAAAAATGTTTGGCACTGATTGGTTTAGTGCAAAGCCAAGTATGAGACGGAAACAGCACAATCAGCGACGTCAATGGTTCATTTAGCTATTGTCTTAATCAAGTCTTAAACCCTTCTCAAATGCACTTTTAGTTTCACTTTATACGGCTTTTAGTATAAATATCGCTATTTTTTTAATTTTTTTTTTCAGTAAACATACCCTTCACTAAAATCATTACTAGACAGAGCTGTTCTTAAAAAGGAGAACAAAAGTATTGCCCTAAAAACCAAGAGATGCGCCGCAGGTTTTTATTCATTTGGCCACAACTTACATGTTTAATATCGTTGAATAATAAAGATAAATCAATATTTTCTATTGGTATTCTAACCATAATCTCTTCGCTAAAAGCTTTTTTCAGTTTCTCTATGACAACAGTAATTCGTCTTAGGTAAAATGGAAACAGTATACGAATTTGGATACTTTTGTGTCTCCGAGAGAGGGAAGCGCTCCCCAATAAAAACTTTGTAGGCATGTTTCGCCCTGTAGGCGTGAATATGGAGCCGGTTTGATACGAAAACGATCAAGATTTAGATTAGATATGAGCACACAGTGTATGGACGTAACGTTCTTTTCAATTTAATTTTAACGTATGTTATAAAGTAATGGAAGGAACCAAAGTTTAAGAAATTTTGACTATGTTTTCAGGCGAGTTTGATCAGTCCTTGCCTTTAGCACTGTTACGAAAGGACATCCGTAACAAAACAAAGTAAATGTTACCAGGCTTGAAGATGGCAATGAATTTAAAAAAAAGCTTCGTTTGAAAACAGGTGGAGGATCAAGGATTTTGAGAATCTGGCGACGTACCCCTGCCTACTAAAATTTTTAAATCCACCCCCTCCCTCCCCCCACTCCCAAGGACGTTTGATGATGGTTCACATAGAGTTTTTTAAAGTACAAATCGAGGTGGCCTTTGCTTCTATTGTAATAGCTCGCGAGAGCGCTCTTGTCGATGCTGCTGCTGTTCGATTATCTCGCAGGCTTGAGTGTCGAGCAAGCAGGAGGTTTGCGAAGAATCCGGCTCGACTCTCGTTGATCTAGCAAGAAGCCCGCGAGATGCCAAATGCAGCAACGCCATAGGGAGCCTTCTTGCAGAATATTGAGTTTAACAATACTTTTTATTTCCGGTTAGAATTTCTATATTATCAATGTTACGATGTAATCTCAGCTACTTAGACTTTTATAGTGTCACGCAACAAAAGAATTACGTGACAAAGTCAGTATTGGACTTAACCACGAATTTTGCTCTTTGCCTATTGACGACTATTTAAATTCAAAGAGGCAACAGATTTACATGAAATATAACATTGTTTCTTCGCTCTGGAAATACACACAGGTTTTCGCTTTCCAATCTTTAAGATCATGCTTTTTTTTAGGGCGCATGTCCATGAGTAAACAGGAAGTTTGTAGCCTCGTTTCTGAGAATGATAAAGGGAAAGCCCCACTATATCTCAACGAGGTGTCAAAATCAGCTCACCAAACGAAATAATTAGTTATTAACATTCCATCATCCTAGATTCTTTTTTCACCGCGCAAAACCCACACAACTGTTTTAGCCAAGCTTGTGGCGTGTTTGGAAAAGGACACTCAACGTATTGTTGTCTACCGATGCTGTAAACTCATAAAGCCTATTCCATTGTCAGTGGAAAGAAAACAACGTCGTTCAGCCGGGAAAGATGGCTGACCGTCAGAAACAAGCTGATGAAGAGCTGACACAGCCATTGCTGTCTAGCGACGAAGATCCTTACGGTAAAATAACTTCATTATTTGTGGTCTTAACCCTTTGCGTGTTCAGTCACCTTATTTTTTTTCTTCAACAAGCCACTATTTAATCTGAATATTCAAATAGTTTAAGTGTGGTAAATAATGTAATTGTAAGCTTGGCGAGTTGTTTTCTCGTTGCGTTAATGATAAACGAGCTGCGCCAAACAATCAGCCATCAATCGTGGGATCGAACAAGAATGAATTCTTTTTCATCGGGAACTTTTTTAATTTCAGTTTCGGCCGATGAAGTTGCGTTTCCTTGTATATTTCTGTCGTATTGACATCATACTTAACACATATCGCGCTAGATATTTTGGATAATATTAAAAACAGTCGAGGGCACTGCATTACTCCTTTAACAAGAACGTTCTTGCCTTACACGTATTTTTGTTCATCTAATTCCTCACTGTTTGATCGAAATGAGCGATAAATGGTGTATATTTTTCCGCATCGTTTCGGCTTCAGCGAAAATGTAGAAGAGTAATACAGTTCATACATGAAGGAATGTGAACGGTGGGGTCTATTTTTGACTGCCATGTTTAGATTTCTGACCATCACGGAAACATCGCTACCTTCTGTGCTAAAGGTTAATAGTAAAGCCTAATAAGTAATCATGAAGCTTTGACACCGGCATTTGTTCTTTGATTTTATATTTGTGCTGTGAATTAACTGAGTTTCTTGCTTGACTACGGTTTCGAAACCTTGAGGTCAAAAAGCCCTTTGTGCACAAAATCAATTATGTCCCCTTCATGTTCCTGGGAATATAGTTGTTGCGAAAAGAAACGGAAAGGACCCTAGAAAAATCTAAAAGAGAAACGTAGATAACAGTATCAGTAACATTTTTCGCAGGACTGTATTGGCATGTTTTCACAACTTGGGAAAGGGAAAGATTTCCGTAAAGATTTTGCTGTTTCCAACCATATTTGGTAGAGATGATCCAATTATCCAAGGTCTGCCATTTCTGACGAGGCTACCAGCTTTTACGGAAACAAACAGATGGCTTTGAATAATTTTTTGGTTTCTTTTTGATCATTTTCATTTTTCTTTACATTTCTATATTCAGTGCTGGTTTAGTCTTCAGTTGTATTAGGTGGAATCATCATGGCAGTAAGCTCGAGATACCAGAAGCTTCCTCGTAGAGAAGGTATTGTTCGGCAACCTCGAAATAAACCTCCAAATCGCGATCGACAAGTTCTCTCTATCTTCTCCTAAATGTGTTATCTATCAACTTTAATTTGAGACTTTCTTTTGAAGTGAATCAAACAGAGCAAACAAATGCAAAAGATCATGTAAAGCTCTATCATTTGAGCCAAGGTATTGTGACAAAAATTTCATTTAATTTCTCAACATAATACTGAAGGAGAAGAGCGGTTTTTTCCTTTTTTTGTAGAGTTCTTTTTCTTTTGAGTTGCCTTAAAATGTCAAATGTCTGAATGTGAAAATCACTAAATGGTTTAACATAGAATAGGCACCGAGGAAGTTTATCCTAGCACGTAAACAATTCTTGCGAGGGGTCATTCCAACCCAACAAAATTAATATTAAACTGCTGTTAATGTTAACTTTTCAGACTGTCCTTTCTCCGTTGATATATTCATGTTTGCTTTGACTTAAAGATTTCATGACAGTCAATCAAAGCCAATTAGAATATGCACTCCACTGTTACGGAAATGATTTTTCTATTACGATAAGTTTGAATTTGGGGATTTGAAGTGTTTACCAGTTTAATCTGGAACATCAAATCCACACGCAGAAAAGCCGATTTCAAAAATATCACAACGAAAACTCATATCATCAGGAGACGATATGAACGTCATAATATTCAACACAATTGTTCAACGCCAGTTGCTTGAATGACTAAATTTCTATTTCAGAAACAATCTCGCACAAAATAACGCTGGCTATCACTATCATAATTACGATTACCGGCTCGGATTTGTCTTTCAAGTAACCCATCCATTATTTTAACTCCGTGTTTAGCCTCAAATCAAACGTATTGATTAAGTATCGGCAGTAACAGTTGACAAATTATGGCATTAATGTTCTTCAGAAGTAATAGAAAGAAATACCCCCAAGTAGGCTGTGTGTACGTCAGAATAGCCAATTTAACCCCAAGGCACCATGCAAAGTTACAAATTGCTGAATGTTAGCAATAGCAAGAATAAAAAAGGGAAGCAAAGTGGTGTAAATAGTGAATCTTTTGCAAATGATTTATTCATGGTCAAAGGATATCAATGATAGCACAGCAAGATTGTATTTACGTTGCTGATATATAACTCTGAAGACACCGTCATCACCTAAAAATTGCCTAATGACGCGAGCGACACGAGAACCTTGTCAAAATCTAGTTCTGGAAGAACACATTCTTTTAAATTTAAATATAAGTCTCATGGATGGTTCTTTGGAATCAGTGATACATAGTGATTGTGTGATGCATAAAGTTATTTACACTTGCACTTATCCCATGCTGGACTGCTTTCAAGCTAACCCACTCCTCCCCCATGACTTTTTCAAGAGTCATCTCTTGCTTTTTTACGACACGGTGCTTTTTTTTTTCCATCCTGTAGAACATGATAAATTAAGTCAACGATAATACTCATCCCTAAAATCCTCTTTAACAAATTATTATTGGTGATATCTTTAGATGCTTTACCAGTGTTTATTGGCTCCACTGGAAGCGATGATTTTCGCGGCGGGGCAGAAGTTCGGTTCATAACCTTGGAAAACAAACCGGTGTTTGACAAAGTGCAATCACGAAGTGGAAACGTAGCGAAACAGCGCGTTCACGATGGAGTCATCCAGATGGAGGCAATTTCTCCGGTGGGTCAGATCCTAAGCATTAGAACATGGGTATTTCGAGAGCCAAACGCCGCGCAACTCCACAAAGACAAAAACGGACCGGTGGAACTTCAAGTTACATATGGACAACACAATATAGAAAAGGTATTTTTCTTCGTTAGTTTATGTAGTACCCATAGAGATTTAAGGAAGGTCTCGAAACAATGTTATAAATCGACATGAACAGAACAAAGGCAAATCTCACGATCCACACAAAACCTTTCTCCTTGGTGTAGCAATTCTTCTCAGTGAACCTGGACTCAGTTTACGATGGCCCCATTGCACCAGTGTACGAACTGGCCAAAGTAGAGATGGACAAGAGGAATCTTTTTCAACTAATAGTTGAGCTGTCTTTTCACAATGGAGCGGGAGAAGAGTCACAGTCTTTTTATAGTAAGCCATTCTTGATCAGGAGCAGGCCCAGAAATAATCCCAGCAAGGCAAAGCCTGGGATGAAAAGGCCGAGAATCGTTCCAGGTAGCCTGAGATTTCGTTAATTATTTTGTTTCCTCCAATGTTAGTAAATAAAAAGTTGTGTGGTATATTTTGGTTTACTTAAGAATTTGAAAATGTATGCCAGACGATAGTTTCAAGTCGTTGGTTGTGATAACTTTCGAAGCTGTTGTTTGTATTTATTTTTGAATATTGAAGACTTGACAAGTGTTTGCCAAACTACCCACCCATTCATGTGCGTTAAGCAAAGAAACATGCAAATGCTCCTCGTAAGCAAGGAAACTATACTCAAAACGGCAAAACTTTTGAAGCAGTTGTAAAATAGCTTCCAAGCAATTTTGGATAAAAGAAATATTGTGCACTAAGCAAAATAGGGTTTTACAATGAGTCTTTTCTAGAGGGAGTGGTTTGATCAGGGTATACTTGTATGATCAAAAAGGGCAGAACAAAACTTGATTTCAAGGAAGGCAGTTGAGTAAAAGTAGGAAGTGGAAGCTTTAATAACAGTTCTATTTCTCTCAATATATCTGTTTTCCCTAAAACATGATAAAATCAAGGAACACCGTCAGCAAGTATAACTTTTGATACTTCGTTTTATGTTTTCACCCAATTAAATTTACTTGCAGTACCTAATAAACGTTATGACCTAGGCTTCACTCCACTTATTTTTGGTATCTTTATTTAAACAGACAGCACAGGAGAAGAAGAAGAAGGAGAAGGTTAGTGGTCAAACCTCTCTTCATTAACGGAGAAGTTAGAGAAAGTTAGTTATAAAAGCTTAAGTTTACATGAATGAATAATCATTCTCTGCTCGCGCGGTGGGCCGGCGACTTTTTACGATGGATCCGCCAAGTTAAAAAGTGGAAGAAAACTATGTATGAGTGATGAAGATAGGTGGATAGAAAGAATTTTAAATGCCTTCATATAACTACTATTCATCACTGTCTCGCCAATTAAGTTTAAAATAGGAGCGGCGCAAGATATGTCATTTTCATCAAAACAAGGGTGTAAGGTCACTGTACATAGTTATTATAATTGTCAGCCAATTTTTTTTGATAATATCCACCAGCTACAATTGTTTCCCTTTTACATTTTTAAATTTGCAGACTCACCTGTTCATTTCAGTCCAGACAGTTCTGTTAGCATGACAGGTAAGTAAGTTGTTGTGAATAATCCCCTCCCCCAGCCCCGCCCTGTCTCTTCGGACGTGAAGCTTATGGGCACGAAGCAGGGTTTCCCTTCGCGCAAACGCACAATCAGTAAAACACTGTTTGAAAATAAAAGTTTTTATCAACTCAAGGGCACTCAACATGGTAACTGAGTAAATTGAGTTCACTGAGCCAAACATTTATTTCAAGAGTTGAAATCTCCCTGCACCTCAATCCATGAAATTTTTTGATTCATTACTACGCTGTTACAAAGTTTGCAGTGGTCATCTGGCTTCAATTCGAACGTAAAAGAAAATAGATACGAAGTAAAGTATTTTCCGTTGAGTGTCGTAAAACCGAAACCAAAGAAATCACAACTACCAAGAAGAATAAAAGTAAATTCCTTCAAGAGGCAATGCGAACTCATAGTACGAACGACCAAACTGCCTAAAGCGCGGTAAAAAGCACGCGACCAAGTCAAGACTGGTTTTAGTTTTGCGTCTGATTGGTCGAGAGCGAGGCACAAGTCTTTGGTACCAATCACAGAGCGAAGTGAAGAAAATACAAAGCAATCCCGCATTACTTTCGACATTCCATTGAAATTGCTCTAAGGCCTTCAGAACCCGTCTCATCAGCGTCAAGCAGATATTGGATTGCACAATGTTCCCTTGCTCATCGAGCCATCAAGACATTGTTGTTTGGAAAATGTTGCTATATTTAATATCTGAGCATCTTTTCGTTGCCTTCTTCAGGAGGATCGGTCGAGTTTCAAAATCTACGAGTAATTGACCACTTGGAAGCCAAGCGTGCGCACATCGAACACCTGTCGTTTGTAGTCTCTAATGCAGGTGCGAGGAAGGCCGACATTGGATATCACTTCAAACTAAAAGATCCTGACCTGTGTGAAGACTTTGAAGAAGGAGATGTGGTCGGCTTCTTTAAAGGTGACGATGGGAGAGCATCCATACAGCTGCTGAACAACAAAAATGGAAAAGATGCCGTCATGGCGGGCGTCGTAAGCCGATCAGCGTACCTTGAAGCCACACCTTCTATTAGTGAAGACGGTTTGTTCCTAACTAATCTTGTTATTTCCACATTACAATCCAGTAAAGTTTAAAGGGCAACAAAAGTGCATGTAGCAGAATTTCATATTTATTAAAACCGATCTGAATTTTTTATGCAGGGTTGCAATCACGTTGGATGCTATAGTTGTGAGCTGTGAGTTTTTTTTAACTAGCTATGTATATGACTAGCTTGCCAAAATTGGTAGGGAATTTACTGGAGGTAATTTTCCTTCTTAGATCCCACTGATGTTGTTTGCGTTATCGGAGTCATCAAAGTGAAGTGTGTGGGTTCTGTCCGGGCGGGAGAACGAATTTACGCTTCTGTGGACTTGGACAATCCTGGAACAGCCATCCCAGAGTCCCATCTGCCTCCCAGTGTGCTCCTCGGCAAAACAAGTACATTACTTGGCATGGCAATGGAAGAAAAGAAAGCCTCCAAGCTGGATGATGTACATTTGGTTCAGTGCTTTGTGTGCATAGTGCTGGGAGTGTGTGATAAAGAAATTGCATCGGAAATAGAAAGCATGTACCACCACTTTGAGATGGACTTGGCTATTAGACTGCGAAGAGAGAGGAAGAAGACTAGAAGACGTAAGTAATATTTTCCTTTTTTTCTGTAGAGACCTCCTTACATGAAACAGTGTGGCCGAGTGGTTAGGACGCTGGACTTGTAATCTGGTAGTCCCGGGTTTAAGCCCTTCGCTCTGCTTATCAATAGATTCGTTTTCAGTTGCCCCAAGTTCAACTCCTTGGCTGCACTTGATGTATAGCCAATTGGTTTTCCTCCGACCAAAAGGGGCTTTTAAACATTTATTATTAGTTTAGTATTAATGTTTCAATTTGTTCGTATTGGCCCTGAAAAGCTTCATCGGGGAAGTGATCATCTGAGGCTTCAAACATACACATACAAGCATAACTAACTGATTAAACCATCGATCGATTAATCGCTCGATCAATGTCTTGCTTGCTTTTAATGTTGATCCTTTGGCTAATCGACTGATTTTGTTGAATCGTCTTCCTATCTAGCTTTTTAAGCGTGATTTTATATTTCTCTTACTCAGTGATGTGCGTGATGGGGTGGGGCTTCGTCATTCTGCTCATTTTGGTTGCTGTTTTTATGTACGAGTACTTGTATCCGGGAAGTGCATTACGATACTGGATATGCAAACAGGGATCCATTCCAGGTCACAGGGCTTCATTTAGATATATTCCCGCGTCCCAAATACATCAGGTACGTAAGTAATTGATCTACGTATTGATTAAAGAAGGTAAGTTTATGAAGAAAGTATGGTACTGCGTCGATTATTGCGGGGTTTTGTCAACTGAGTCGATAATGTGGCCAGCGTAAGAAGTTTCTAAAGCGAAAGTTAGCCCTTCGACTCTTCGATGTGGCGTAAAGCTTAAGTTAAACATCAGCTTTAGAACTTTTTTACGGTGGCCAATTTACATTACATGCAAGTAACTATTTCAATTAAAACAGAATGGCTCAAAAAAATAAAATATGGAGGTAACTTTTCATGGTCCGTTCAGTCTAAGATGAACCTTGTAACAGACTCTGTAATCTGTAAAGTGGATGCTCTGAACTGAAAAGGTCTGGGTATGATACTGCGGTGGACTAACGAAATGCTCGGGATAGCTCACCGTGCTAGTTGTTTTATACCACGGAAACCACGATACGCTTTGTAAAATGCGCAATTAGATTGGAGTGGTATGAGTAGTCAATTAAAACGTGATCGAGCCAGTCGCAATCGGTTAAATATCGGCATGACATTGGTTAAAAGTGGTTTTAGGAATACTGTAGACCAATCACAGTAAATGGTGAAGCAAAACTGAAACAATTCTGGATTACATTCCAAGTAATATATCCAACTGCAATTGCAGCGTTGTGATGCCCGTGGTATTGAATTCACTTGGGATGGACTTGAACAAAAAATGTCGCCGCATTTGGACGGTATTCCTCCGCTAAATTCTACAGGTAAGCCCACCTGTAACAACACCCGTGTAATGCCTGGCTTGAGTCAACTTAGGATAAGGAAAATAGAACAGATTTGATAGAAAGAGAATTTTCCAAGGCAGTTTGGTAAGTATTAGTCAAGTTAGCTGAGTTTAAATTCCTTGAATTGTTTTTTTCTGTGTACAAAAAAAAAAAGTGTCATGCGGAAATGGTGATGGATCAAACCGCTCACGGCGACGAGGGAGGTATTTTTTAAACAATGAATATTTCTACGGGGATGTCTGAAAGTTGCAAGCCTTTGAATAGAAGGAATATGTTTCTAAAGAAACTGTGGTTCTGGGTTTGTTGGGATATTACAAAATAATTTGGTTTTATCAACTGAGTTGATAACATTGATTGGCCCTTGCAAAGGTTTATAGCTGATGTTTCGAGCGTGTCGCTCTGAAGGAAGATCATCACTCGAAATGTTAGCCTTGGAAATCATTTGCGGTGGCCAATTTACATTATCAACTCTGTTTATAATACCAAATTGTCTTTTACCATTAATTCAACCTTTTCATATGATAAGTACTTCATTTGATTTATGAATTTGATTTCAGCGGTACCTGGTGAGCACCATTACTATCTAAACTGGGATCGATGCGCTTATGGTGGAGCGAACAAGCTGTCTGCTCAAGTCCAGGGAATTTCTAACAACAAACAGATTTGCGGGCCGATTATTTTTGCCATAAATTTTAACTGCTCCATTGTTTATTACTACCAGGATAAGCCTAACGATGGCTGGAATAATTATACGTCGGTACAAAACAAAGATTTGCGAGATTATCTTAAATGTATACCTGCAGAGGAATTTAAAATATAAGAGAGACACGAAGTTGAGGTCATGATTTGAACGTGTAAGGAGCAAAATACCTTCAATTTCACAAAACCACAAAATGAATTTCGGGTTAACTAGAGCAGTTTTCAATTGAGGTTCGAAAATCCAACACCAAAGTAATCACAACTACCAATCAGAACGAAGGTTAACACCATCATCAACCAATAGAACTCAAAGCAACAACAGGCAACCTTCTTAAAGCGCGGGAAAACGCGTGTGACCAAGTTAGGATTTGTTTTAGCTCTGCATCTGATTGGATGATTTGTTGCCGCGAGTTTTCTAGATCAATCAGCGAAGTAAAGCAAAACCAAATTAATCCCGTATGATTTTCGACGCTCAGATGTAAAGGTCTCTAGAACAAAACGAACATGGAAACTAAAGAAGAACGAAAATAGTTGAGGATGGAGACGATTGATGTGGATTTTGTAGATGTGCAATTTGTAAATATTAAGGGTAAATTTTAAAAGATTAACAGACCGTGACGTGACTCCTCTAAATGAGAAGAGATATTCTAGAGAACATTTGTTTTCCTCTCTGCTGGTTATAAGTAGCTATGAAAATAATCAAGACGTAGACTGCATTTTAAAATTCCATTCGATTCGGGACAACCAGACAAGCAGTTAGTTGTGGTTGGCTTGTTGTAGTTCTGCGTGTTTTGGTAGCCAGAAACTGACTTCTTTCCAAAATTCTATCGTCCATAGATAGATATAAAATTTTTTATCACATTAAAAAACGACATTTAAACGCTTAGATTACTCTTTGGAACCTCAACGCGCTACGTGGTAATCTTTTTATGGTACGTTTATAAAATGGAGATAAGAACTAAACTATTTATGAGGCATACCTCTCCTTTGGGATTGGAGCTAAATCTGATTGACCTTTATATTCCATATATTATTTACTGTGCAAGCCATTCGAAAATTTCCATGGAAAAATATTCTTGTTCAGGAGCTTATTTTCACTTGAAGGTTTTTTTCATCTTTCTTCGGTTAGCCATTGAGGTTTTCGTGAGCATTGCTACTTTTCATCAAAGTTTATGTTGGAGGCCTCACAAACAACAAAATGACATCCCTTCAGCATGAAATGGTCAAAGCGTTTTGGAAGGGGTCTTGAGCTGTATATCTAGTTGATAAAAGCCAAACCAAAGTTCAAATCACCATGGCATTGGGTAGTAATTCGATTAAAGTTGTGATGTAAGATGTAGATAAGTATAGGTACCTGAATATTCATGCTTCTTGCTTTTAAATTTTCGTAGGCAAAAATTTGTCAACACTTATTTACTCATATGCTAAGCATATGTTTAATATCTTTGATATTTAAAAGATAAAAAAAAATCACACCTCGTGAGGATATTTCATTCTTCGTATCAACAACCACTTCCCTATTTTTTTTTTCAGACGACCTGCCAGTTTTGTTCAGTTAAAACTGGAATGTTGTATAATTGTGTTCATCTATATCCCTTGATCATTCCGTTAATTTCGAGTGTGTAAACCAATAAAATTTAACTTTGGAAATACAGGTTTTCATTGTAGTCACTTTTTTTTTAGTCATAATTTTCTAAATATCTTTGGCGTTTGGCAACACTTTAAAGGTGACGCTAAGGCAGCATAATAATCTATTTTGGTGCCCCTAATTACTGTTTTAATTCACAATTAATTGGCTTTTTTAATAATGTCCCTATATTTTCTTCTAGCTTTATCTTTATCCCTAACCGGAGACAGCAATGAAGCATGACAAACAAACAAAACAACACCAATTTTATCTAGGGTAACATAAAGATAGCCTGTTACCGACGTAGAACGAGGTACAATAGTGAGTGGCGGTAAATCGAGGGATGTTTCACGACCCGACCATAAATTTGTCTCGTTTTTTCACTCCTCTAATAGTAAAGTGCTGTTTACTATCGCACTTTGTTTTACTTACTGAAAGCCTGGAACAGGCTGATATCAAGGAAATCATGGTTTCCCGTAAGTATTCGAACCTAATCAATTTTCTTTGCATTCCTTTGCATTCCATTGCTTGACATGCCGCGAGCCCGATTCTAGGCAGAAGGAAAAACCTAAATATACATAAGATTTAATTGTTGTTACTCACTTGACTTACGCCTTCTTTGAATTTGGCACTGGACGCCATAATGATCAATTTTGGTGGCCCATATTTGTCAACCCCTTACCACAGTTATTTGGTTCTGGTAGGAGTCCATTGCCGTAGTGGTAATGGACTGTGGCCTAAGTTCATATCCCTAATCGAAGGCAGCTGGGAACTATGAAAGAAAGAGGAAAAAAAATTAATTGCAATTTTCCTTAAAGGAGAGTGTCAAACAAAGTAAATCATGCCTCCTCGGGAGTATGCGAACTAAGTCCAGTTACTCCACATTTCTGACGCGTGACTTGCAATATAATGAGCTATTGTTCAGTCACGCCTGCAAGTGTTCTCGACCTTGATATGCCGTCTCTTCTAACTGAGAATGAGCTCTAGCTTACCACAAATGTCTTCCAATGGCATCTATGAAAGTTAATAGGCAATCCTTGGCTAAGCATAGCCAGGTTTAGCGTTACAATTTGTCATATGGCTATCATGATATCAAGGTCAGCGTATCCAAAGCAACAAAACAGGAAGTTAAAAGCCTCGTTTCCGAGCAGAAGGGGAAACCCGAATTTAGCTCAAAGACATAGTTCGTCACTACATCTGAGACTTTCGGGTTGTTAAGATTCCTGTTTGGTAAGGGCAGTCGATTAACAGTTGACAGGGAAGGTGCAAATTTTTCATTTTTTGCCGAATAAAAGGAAGAAAAAAGGCAAAAGGCTCTTAGACAACCATGGACGGTAACACAAGACAAGACTTGGAAGAACTGACACAGCCTCTCCTACCCGGTGGACACGACGATCAGTTTGGTAAGTGGTCTTATTGTTTGCCAATACGATCATACTGTTGGAAAACAATACTTCCTCAGTACCTAATAGTAGCTTGTGGCGTTCCACCGTCCGCGCATGAAAGCTAGATAATTTTAAAGTGTTCGGTGCTTTTGCGCCTCAAACGTGATCTTCGCTTACTCAGATATCAATAAATGCAAAGTAAGAGCTTTTGTGTGTTAACGCTTGTTTTAAGTTGCCAGTGAATTGAAAAAAACAGCTTACTCAGGTTCAATGTATGATGCATGAGGCCTATACTTGAACCTATCTTTGTTTATTGTGGAAACGAAGATTTATTGATTCAGTACCAGTTCCCTTTAGCAAAGACGACTAATTCAGTCTGAATGTTAGCGTCACCGTCACGTTTTAGTTGCTCAATGTATTTTGGACTTATTATAATCTTATCACTTTGTGTAAAAGCCAGAACAAGATTTATTTCCTAATCGTAGGGCAGACAGTTAATTACGCTCGGATATTGGTGGACAACTGATTTCCGCATGAATCGCGCCTTTGTGTGGTACATTTGGGGGATCGATTGATTATTACCAGTCGTTGTTTTAAAACATTGCACATGAAACAGATTACAAAATTTGAAAATTACGAAAGTGATTGCTTGTCATTCTTTATTCCTCTTGTTTTTGAAAATTCAGGTTCGAATTCTCTTGTCTCGGCAAACTACAAAAGGAATACAGACCCCTAACTTCTCCTGAACAAGATTCTCATGTTCAATGATTCAACGATGCATTCTCAACCGTAATATCCAATTCACTGTTTTCGAATTTGTGTAAAACCGTGAGCATTTCAGCAATCTAGATGAACGAATAACAAATCGCATGAATTGATCCGAATTAGTCTGTAGAATATTTTAAACAAATGTGCTTTCCTGTTTTTCACCAATCTTTTGTGCAGACTGCCCGTCTAAAAAATATGGTGGGATTAGTATTTCATTTTAAGGGATGATTTGCGCTCTTTCTTCTCATATCAATTTTTTTCGTTCATTTCATCTGATTGATGCGATTTCTTGATCATATTTCAACGACTGAATTGAACATGTATGAGTAAACGAAACTAATTATAACAGTAAACTAATATGCATATTGTAAATTTCCCTTTTTGTATCGTTTGGCAAGCTTGGAGAGCTTGTCATCTGTTCAAGTGATCGGGGCCTGATGATGAAAAATGTGAGAATCAATTCAACTCAGTTTAGGATCAGGTGCAGTCAGTGAAGACCTCTGAAGGGTATAGGTGCGCTCTCATGTTCACAAATAGGCCGTGTTGTACCCTAAAAGGTAATTCCAGTGATAAAAAATTATGTTGAACCGTATCATTTACACACGGTAAATAGGGACAAGGGAAATTAATGTTCGCAGCATTCATAACTTGATCCTATTGACAGAGCCACAAAATGAAATGATGTTGTTATTACCAATAGTTTGTGGCATATGTGCACTAAAGGACTGCCCTAAAATTACCTAACATAAAACTACTGTTTTCTCATCCACAGTCGCGGAAACGGTAGCAGAGTTTTTCAATTCCACTGAAAGCGAGGTTTTCCAAGACAAACCAGACGTTCGCTTCGTCACTCTGGAAAAAAAGGACGTGTTTGATAAAATAGAATCACGAAAAGGAGGAAGAGCAAGACAGCGCGTGGAAGATGGTGTCATCCAAATGGAGGCTTGGTCTCCCGTGAAAATCCTCGATATCACCTCTATACGTGTTTGGGTAATGCGTGAAAAACAAGCTGCTGAACTTTGCGACGACAGGAATGGACCAGTAAGTTTGCCAGTTAAGTTTGAGGGACATAAAGGCGCAAGGGTAAGTTAAATTTCATCATTCAACTCGTTTTAAATGTTTCTTTTGTCCCTTTTTCTTTTATGATTGGTGTTGCTTTTACATTTTGCATCACAAAATAACTGCTACACTTACGCAGTAAACACTCATCTATGCACGCTGTGAGTGCATAGAATTGTTGAGGCGTCTGTATGGAAATATGATTGTGACATGTAAGGATCGTGGGTAACTGAGTATTATTTCACAAATGAAATTTAGGACTTTTCTATGTTTACATAGGTCCACCTGGCGAGGAAGGGTTAAAAATTCTCATATTGCGTCTAAGTGCGCAGCTGTGGCAAATTATTCCCTTGTGTCTCAGATGAGGTTATGCACACATAGATAAATTCTTCTCAAATCAACTTATACATAGTTCATTGGGAAGTTAACTCAACTAAATCTTATTGAATTGAAATTCTCCTCGCTCCTTACACAGGGAGTTCATTAATCACGACAAAAGCAAAAGGATCCAACTAGATATTGTAGATAGCTATAGGGATACAAGTGAACCCGTGGTCACTGTTTTTACAATTAATTCTCCAGTAATACTTCTATAAAAAAAAAAACAACAACAAAACCGTTTGCATGTACAGTCTGTGCGTGCACTTGCCATCTGTGAATGGTTTTAAAGGTGAAATGTTCTGTTTGAACCGATTTTCTGGCGAATGCTTTTGACAGCAGACGGCAGGCAGCGCTCTCGCCCTTGGAGCCTTCTTTACCACTAAGAACGAGTGCTGAAAGCTCTGGTCTGGTCCCCGATTTTCCCTCATCTCCAGACACTTGTTAAAACAGACATAGTTAGAACCCAATAGGAAACTAGAAACCACCAAGGTTTTCATCGGAGTCTATCGACCCGCTTTACTGACAATAAGTCAGATCGTTGGAAATGATATTAAGGCCAGAGGCAGACATATAGATCCGTCACTTAGATTTTGGGTCATCATAGTTGCTATGACACAAACGAGCCAATTACACACAGTGAAGTGGATGATATTGACGCTTTTATTACATGATTTGTACAGCAATTATTCTCAGTCGATCTGGACTCTAAATACGATGGCCCGAACCCCTGGAGTCCTCCATTGTATAAATTGGAAAAAGGAGACATGAAGAAGAAAAACGTTTTTCAGCTTTTGGTGGAGCTACCAGCACAGTCTGGAGAGACTCAAGAGTTCTATAGTAAACCATTCCTGCTAAGAAGTAAACCTAAAACTGGCCAACCTAAGAAGAGGAAATCCAGTGAAGGTTAGTGGAATACACAGTAAGTTGACATTTTTTGTTAAGTCGACCCCACAAGCACGAACAGAAAATTCACTTGGGACATTTCTTCTCCTCCTCTCCTTAAGCAAAAAAGTGAGAAAGAAGAACCAAGTCATGGCGTGATGAAGAATTTAAATCTCAAGGAAAAATGGCTAGTTTCGCAGAATTAGGAGATTATGCATTCTCCCGTTCATTATTCAACTTTACTTGTACTTTCTATACCTTTTATCCTTCACAGAAGCTGGGGGAGGGGGGTCTTTCTCATTTAGTTGCCTAACATTTGATTTTATATTTAGTTCACTTTCTTAAACCCACCAAACTGTGTATCTCCGTGTTTCATTCAAAACTGAAAGCAAAGTGATACGAAAAATTGCAAAAAGTAAATAAGTAAACAAAGATGCTTTATACCCATCACTTTTTAAACTTAACAGATTCCTCTTCAGTGGAATCCACTTCAGAAGGCTCAATCCCAAAGAAAGGTGAGTTTGATTTTATCTGTTCCTTTTTCTTTTTTTTTTCTTTGTGGTGTGACATTGCGCTACTTAGCCTTTTGGGATCGGAACGATTACTGTAAATAACATTTGTGCTTTAATGTCTATATGAAGAAATGTTTTTGAAAAAAATTAAATCAGACGCCTGTATTTATAAGCCACAACCAATATAGGCTTGGCTGGACTTACAATCGAACAAAAACAGGCTAAGTTGTGAAAAATTTTAAAAATTTTTAAGCAAGGTGAGAAAAAAATTAAGGGGCCACGGTTTAGTTTCATTTTAACTTGTAAAACTCCCTGAAGAAGTCGACGAAAAGCGTCGTAGAATAAGGAAGTTTTACAACTACTGTCCGCAGAGTGCTGCTCACTAGTTTAGTTTCTTAAATCCTTTTTCAAAAATTGTCACGTGTTGACATTTGTTCGCCATATCGGGGTATATTACATGTTTGGGCTTCTGGATTGTGTTCGTTATAACGAGGATTTCGTTATATCGAGGTTCGTTATTTTGAGGTTCGTTATATCGAGGTTTTGTCCCATACATTTCACTGTAACCTTGGCCGTGGCTGTAGAGTATGGTTCGTTATGCCGAGGACTTCGTTATATAGAGGTTCGTCAAATACAGGTTCTACTGTTTGCTACCATTATACTACCCTCAAATCTAGAAAAACTGAAATGTCGAAATTATAGATTCCTTTGAACTAATACGCGCGCACATAAGTTCAACCTAAACTATCATATAAAAAATCTCTTTGTTATTGACTTTAGTTCCTAGTTCCTTTCAAAACCTTCGGGTGATTGAACACTTGGAAGCGAAAAGTGCTTACATTGGAAGTTTAAAATATGACAACTTGACAGTAAATGAAGGAAGAGCCGATATTGGATATCACTTTAAGGTGAAGGATCCTAATTTGTACAAAGAATTTGAGGAAGGTGATGTGCTTGGGTTCTTCAAAAGTGACGATGGAACAGCATGCGTACAGCTTTTAGACAGCCAAAATGGAAAGCAAGCTTTCATGGCAGGAGTCATCAGCCGGTCAGCCTACCTAGAGGCCACTCCGGCCATGAGTCAAAACGGTTTGTTTTGTTTTACTGTTATTTTAATCGTGGCTTGGGTTCTCTCAGGAACGTTGTGCGCATATTTCACCCAAAAAATGCCACTTTCGCCTGCGTTACCCAAACGTCAGGCTAAAATCATGTTCAATAAATGCAAAGTCACTGTAGTCCAAAAGTTCCTTTTAAATTAGATCACGTTTTTTTTGTTTATTTTGTTTTTCTCTTCCTTCTTCGTGTGTTTCTTCTGTTATAGATCCCACTGATGTTATTTGCGTAATTGGAATAATCAAAGTAAAGTGTATGGGATCTGTCCGCGCTGGAGAACGAATTTATACTAATGTGAGCCCAGATCATCCTGGCACTGCTATCCCAGAGTCCCATTTGCCTCCGTGTGTGATTTTGGGTGGCGGCAGTGTTCTATTGGGGATGTCAATGGAAGAAAAGGAAGCATCTAAGCTCAATGACATTAACTTGGTTCAGAGTTTTGTGTGCATGGTTCTTGGAGTAAGCGATAAAGAAATCAAATCAGAAATAGGAAACATGTATAATCGATTCGACGTGGAAGTGGCTGCAAAGCTGCGAAAGGAAAGAAGAAAGGCGAGCCGAAGTAAGTACAAGAAACTTTATATATGTGGCGACTTTTAAAGGGTCTCTGATTCAAGTCTACGACTTCAGTTCCGATCCTCTTTATATCAGAACGCATCGGCGATCCAATTGTATTGGCATCAGTATAACATTATATCATGAGAAAAGAAAGCTAATTTCTTTACCTACATTAAGTGACACACTCCTTTTAAAAACTTTCAGACAAACCAGGAGACAGACGTCCCACATGCCTGACTAACTTGATTGACTGACTGACTGACCAAGTGGCTGTGGACTGCTTCAAGGCCAGCTGGCCCATGCGATTAACTGGCTGACTGAACAAACGATCGAATAACTGACTCACTGACTGAAAACTGAATGACAACTGACTTACTTATCGGCAGACAGACTGCCAGATCGACTTTCGGACCAACTGACTTACTGACTTACCGACTGACTAACCAGTTAACTTTGTAGTAAACAGACTAAAAACTCCAGAAGACTAAAAACTCCGTTCAGGTCAAACAATGAGGCGAGGATGTCTTATTTTACTAATTTTTTTAAACTTTGTTTATTTGTTCTTTTCCTTCCACAGTGCGGCGCATGATTGTGTGTGGCCTTTTAACTGCGCTTGCGTTAACCGCTTTCTGGATGTACCAATTCTTATATCCGGGAAGTGCTTTACGATATTGGATATGCAAGCATGGTTCCTTAGGAGATTCCAAATGCAATTTCACATTTATTCCCGAACGTGACACGGCACAGGTATATATGTGGCTTATATATATTTCAAACGGGTTAAATCAATCGTATGAAAGTGTATGTCCATCTGTCATCCATCAAGTTAGTCACAGGGCAGTCAAATACACTCAGTTACTCAATCAATAAGCCAGTCAGCGAGTCTTTCAGATTCGTAAACAGGCTTTGTCATTAAATCAAATAGTTTTTCGCCGAGTTTTTATTATGGAAAATTCCTCTGCAAAAACAAAACGAATTCAGGTAACTATATCTGCATTACCATAGACCTAAAAGAAATGTTGTTGAAACGTTCGTTGAATTTTTTATTACAGCGTTGCACAACAATTGGCCTTGAATTTACGTGGGATAGACTTAAAGAGAGAATGAAGCCGCATTTGGATGACATTCCCGAATTGGATTCAAAGAGTAAGTACAACAATCTTACACGTTCTTAAGGCCACTTGTCCGACTGAAGCAACGTTTGTGTGTGCGGTTTTATGCTAGCTGTTCTGTTGCTCAGTGCTCTCAAGAGGAGCTTTTATAAGTGTCTCCCCATAGGATGTCCTCTCAACTCTTCGAAATTATCTATATCATCATGATCTAATAAATAGACCACGCAAGTAGTGTAGCGAGCGTATCTGTTGTCAGCCCGATTAGACAAAACTTCTCCTAAATTATTCAGAAAGACTATGTCGCATCCGGGAGGAACAATTATTTCTCCAATCTCGGGAGTGCAAGAATTAAAGCAGTGGCCATTGCAACTGATCTTGGATTCAATTGACCTGATAAAAAAATGGTTTATAATTGAGGAAAAACTCAGAAATAAATACTGGAAAGCCAAAAGTTTGGCAGCAATGGAAAATATGGACAAAAATCAGACGGGTCGAACGTAAATCCAATGAAACCAGCCCAGTGATGTCAAATTTAATTAAGTTCAAAATTTTTAATTGATTAAAGGCAGCACACTTAACAAGCTACTACATCATTCATCCTCTGTGACTGGCTCGCCACCCTAATGCTAGCGACTAAGGGGGGGGGGGGGGGCTTTGCACAATCATGTCAAAGTGAATTCCCTGGAAACGTAGGAAAATTATAATAACAATAATAAAATTATTTATGTAACGCTTTATACAAAAGTTCCAAAGCACTTCACTATGATTTTAAAAAAATAATGAAACTTAAAATAACTTAAGGTATAAGATATCGTTTAAAAAGATAAGTTTTCAGAGATGAGTAACACTGGAGCAACGTTTAATATAACTGGGAGGACAGTTCCAAAACTTGGGGGGACATAAAGAGAATGCTCGGTCTCCATTAGTTTTCATATTTGACGGAGGAACTTGAAGTTGAAAACTAGATGAAGACCCTAAATCCTTGTCTGTTAGAGAGCTTCCGTAAGAAGCCAAAACGGTTTTATTTGACAAAATAAGAACATTGAGGAGTACCAAAAACGTGACTACAGCCATTACGGCGCATACATTCAAACTTGAGTTAACAACCATGATGTAGAAACGCAAATTGAATGTTATTAACTGTCAATGATTTTTGTGAATTTCAGGAGTGCCTGGAAAGCACCATTACTACCTAAACGTGGATCGCTGTGCCTATGGCGGAGTAATCAAGCTATCCGCTCCAGTTTCTGGCATTTCGAACAACGAACAGATTTGTGGTCCAATTATTTTCGTTGTAAACAGTAACTGCTCTGCTGTTTATTTCTATCAAGATAAGCCCCACGCAGGTTGGAAAATATACCAGTCAGTTAAGCATTATGAATATTTACGCCAAAAACTACATTGCACACGCTCAGAAGTCTCCAGAGAATGAGCTATCTAAATAGAGGGCGATTACTAAAGATTCCTTTGTCGAGGGCAAATCATTGGAAGCTTGAACAAGTTTACTGCTTCTAAGATTGGAAAGTAAATTTTTCTAATTTTTTTGCAACGGGTCTCTAATGTAACGAGTTCCTTGGATTTTAAACATAGCCAGCTTCAACGTCAATGCCATTTTATCCTGAAAAGGTTCTCTGTTAGAAACTAATAAAGTGACATGTTTTCTTATGATCACGAATAATAATTTTATGTAAAGTAGAAACAAGTCTATAGAAATTAGCTGGCGTATATTTTAGAAAGTATTATACCAGTTGAATGAATTTCAAAGGTATTTATACAGTTTAAAAAAAAAAAAAGAATCCTAGAAACTTTGCGAAACTTTAATAAATGGTTTAGAAAATTTGAACCCACCTTTGATTTCCGCAGCTGCTTCTATTGGGTCATTTGGATTTTCTACCATAATATGGTCATCAGCACTGGTCTGCAAGTATTGTTAATGCAAGTTACCTTATTAGTTAATTTTTCAAATACTTCCTATATACTAAACTGAATAAAAGAGGCTTTTCTGTCAAAAAGTTAGAAATTTTTTTCCCTATCAGTCGTATTCACTAATCTCCTAGTGAGGTCTTCTAACAGGTCAAGACTATCCTCTGTTGTACCGGCGGGAATGTGGGTCGCATCAGTTGAATTAACTCACGTCAAGAAGGGTTTACCGGCCATATTACTCTTATTCTCCTTACTGGTGGGATTCCCGGACACATCAGTCACTTTGCACATACTTATTAGGGTATATAAAGCCTTACTTACGAATCAAATTTAATTACGTGCATTAAATCTTTATTATGAAATAATCGAGATAGTACGTGCACTCTTATTGGTCAACTGGTAACTTTAGAACACAGTTGTGACTTCATACTTTTTTTGTCTGTGGGCACAATTTGGAAATATTTGAAACTCAAAGCTTTCGCAATTTTAAGTTCAAATAACAAATATTAGAAATGAAGAAAAATTAGCTGATTTTTTGTTTGGGGTTAAGCAGGAGGACCCCCTTCTAGCTCGAGCAAAGAGGACAAAGTCTGCAATAAAATGCACAATAAACATTATCCATAAAAAAGTTTCACTTTTGAGTATTGCAATAAAATCTTCTGCAAGAAATTTCTTTTGATGTTTGTTTTAAAATGTTCTCGAAAATGCACACCAAACTATGTTACATTTGTTTGCCGTGTTTTGGCTCTCAAATTTGTCCCAAACGTAACCAGTTTCTCTGAGATGTTTTCGGCGTAAAAAGCTACTTTCACATTGGCAATAATATTCGTTAACTTTTTAATTCAGAATTCGACAGAATGGGACATCAAAACTTTACTGACCAGTCAAACTTCACAAAGCACCATGAGTGATTCAACTTGTCAACCATGTTCTCAGGCTGCCAAATCGGGCAAGTTTTCGTCAGTTTGAAAAGTGATCAACCACAGTGAAATTCATTTTCAGCTTAGTTGAACTTCTGAGAAACTAATCTGAGAGCTTCTGGCAAAAGAAGTCTACTGTTTCCGCCAGAGGTTAATGAAATATAATTGAAGTCAAACTAAAGGCAATATAGAGGGTTTGAATGGGTTGATGGCTTTTACGGCTAATGGTTAAAACTGATGGCTGATTTACGGCTCACGAATAATATCTTTCTCTTGTTGTCGCCAAAAAAGATTTTTCAGTTTAATTTTTTTACGACTTAAGGTTAACATTTTTGTCAACACGACTAACAGCTCAATTTTTTAAACGTTTTACGGCTAACAGTGAACCCACTGAGAACCTCAACATCTCGCAGTCAAATTTCTGATTGCCACTTTACCCATTTTATTTTGTACACTGAAACCAGTCGATGAAGACTGGATACTTTCTGGACAATAATTTTCCTGGGCTGTTTCCTAAAACAACGAACAGATTAAAAGCATGCAAAAAAAAAAAAGTATGGAAAACGTAGGCTGAAACATAATCTATTGTGGTTGATGTTCGTTTTCTCAGTGTCCCAAAAACGGTTTTAGTTTAGCATATCATTTTTGGTCATTTTTTCGTGATCTTTTTCATTAAAAAAAAATTAAGGAAATTCTTATGTGCTTACCTCACAGGTATTACCCAGTTTAACCCATCTCCTAATCCTTGGTTTCTAATATTATAACATTACTAAAGAATATGACTTTATACTTTGCCAAACAGGTTTCAACACGATTCTTGTCACTTCAGTTAAAAGTACGAGGTACAAAGCTGAATAGTCTGTTTCAGTAAGTTCAAAAACTCAATTGCTTCCTTGTAAAATTGCGCTTTGTGCATGAGAATTACAAAATAATTATGCTTAAAACAAAGGCTTCCCACTCACTAACGGTTTAAAAACTCGAGGCTTAAGTCATCTCAGAGGTACACTTTTTATGATGTACATCTGCCATAGCCTAAAAAATTTGAAAAAAAAAAGGCAGAGGCGCTCTCTAAGAGACGTGCGAATGTGTAGGAGTTAGGAGTTGTGAAATAACAGAACAGAAGTAATTGTTTCAAGCAGCGTGCAAATGTAAATCGTCTCTCTTATCGTAAGTTGAAAATCAAAACAAACATTTTGCGGCATGCACGTATGATCACTTCATAATCACGTCTATACGTGGGGCCTGGACAAGAAGTTTAACAAGGTCTCGATAAAAAGATCATAGGTTTAGTGAAAAAGTCCTTTGTAATGGACTAAAGAAATATACTTCTTGCGCAATTTTCCGATATAAGATTGATAAGACACGGAGGGATGAAAGATCATTTTTAGCTGAAGATGTCAAGAGTCAAGTACATACTACGTTGGTAGCTATAAATAACTGAAATAGATCAGTATGAGTGTAATAAATAGTTACATTGTTTATTTAGTTCTATTCATGTTTCAATGTTATCCCGAGTTTTCATCAGAGGAGCGGGTGCAGCAAATGGCAATTCATGAGCAGCAAAAACTATCAGATTCTATAAATAAACCCTTCTGTCAGTAATCTTCCAAAGAGGGTCCATACTTGAGACCCTGCACTCGGGGTTGCGTGATGGTAAATAACATCTAGATTATGTACGGAGAGGTCATAATTTTTCAACAATTAATCACAATAGGAAGTCAACTTGCGGCCTCGTTAGAAAGTGACTTTACGGCAAGCTGGCGTCAGGTTTTGAGTCGTAAACGGGGACGAATTATCTCAATTGTTTCCCGATGAGAAACATCATACCGTCTAAGATTGCAAATGTAATAATCGTTTGAGCCGCCAAGTTTCGCAACCAATTCGATTTGAAGATTACCTTCCCACGATAAATAAATGGACAAAGATCACATCAAACGCAGTATTGTGGCCAAAATTAGACCGTGTAATCAATGATCCACATTACTTACCTGAACAGGATTACCAAACAAAGCGCGTGGGTTGACCATAATTAACCTCAGTAAATTGATCAGTTTGAGTAAGCAGGTTAGCACAATTTCCGGTAACACCCGCCGTGATTGTGTAGGAGCATTTCGGACATTTCAATAGCACACTAATGAAACAAACTTGCTCGGTATTAAAAATATTGATCAAGTGTCATGTTATTGAGAGCAAGAGATGCATTTCATGTACCTATAAGTGTTTGAACTCTGTACAATCCGACGCACGTGTCTAGCTTGAACTAAGTTGATAAAATCACAGTTCCGACTAACAGCTTCAAACCGTTTTCATGACTAATTCCAGAGTATCCTACGAACTTGGTCCTTCGACGATTTAGCAATAACGAGCTGTTTCTTACCAAGGACTCGGTGACAACGCTTCGCACGTGAATACCAGCAATGTCAGGGTCTGGATCAGCGGTTGTTAACTCCTCCTCCATAAATTTAAATTCTCCGCCTGACCGCAATAAATCCTCCCTTTAAAACCATGGAAACTATCAACGAGCCAAGAATTTTATACAGAGAGTTCTTTCTGGAAACAGCTTTTCAGAGAGCTCACAACAGCTGGAAGCACCAGACAGCGCAATTAAGCCCAATGCAGTTTAATTCAGATTGGGAAGAAACCCTAAATGACATCGACGAGCTGATACAGTCTGAGCTAGGATGCTCACTGTCAGTCCTTTCTCCGTATGATGCAGCGCATCTTTCAAACAAGATTGAATCGCGAGAAAGTTATACGCCATTTAAGACCAAGACGAGCTCGAGCGACCCCTCGAAATGGAATCTCTCAGGTAAGTTTGTCACTTTAAAAGTCATTGGCAAATTTGTCAAACGGTACGTTCTGCCTCATCGGCTGAAGAAATCACCGCATGCAAGTTTGTGGGATTGCCGGTCATAGGAAGGTGACTACTGTTTACTTCTCTGACTAGAATTGTCCGGGAAAATTTTTCGATTTTCAAATTGAAATAGTTTTAATTTGGCCCAAAAAACTTTATGAATCTCCTTGAAAGTAATTTCCATCTCTTGAAGCCACTTGCTTAAAGTTTATATCAGCAACATGAATACACCTTTATCATTCATGAACGCATGGGTGAGCCGTACGGTTCTGTTGTTCTTCTTTTCTTAAAGAAATAATAAGTAACCCATCTGTAACGGCACGGTTGAATTAACTGTTGCTGGATATTCCAACTAATGTGATCAGAAATAACTTTTATTGCTCAATTTGACCGGGAACCACATGCTGCAAAGAATGATCGAAAAACTGCATTTGGTGCGTCTTTAGGTTTATTAACTCACACAACAGGAGGACGTCACATTTCGCGGTTGAAAGATCACTGATCACTCATATAAAAGGCGAATGTCTAGTAATGATAAAGTTTTGTAGCAAAGGAAAATTGCAAATAAGCACATGAGTTTATTTGCATTAAGGAAGTGTCGAGAAGAAGCAGACAAGAGTGGATAGTAAGAATCCACCGAGCGCCGAGGGCATTTTCTATTTATGTTGTCGCCGTAGACGAGGTCACAAATTTAGCGAGGCTGACGTCAATGGAAGCCCAGACGCCTTTGAATGAAGAGACTGGATCAGATTAGATCGTAGGGTTTCCTTTCGGGAAGTAACTTATCGCGATATCTTAAATAAATTTATATCACAAAATTACGCAACAACGTGCAAGCGATAGAAATTTTCTACGTAAAAGTAAATTTTTGAAAGAGCTCGCACCATTCGGTGAAATGGAACTCCCTAAATGAGAGTCAGAACCATTGCTTTAACGGCGAGCAAAGCTTTTCGTAAGTGTCACAGACACATTTGTTGATCCTTCAAAGGCTTAGTCGAATAAAAGTATCCTTAGCTCGGCCGAAGACTTGCGCCCCTTCTCATTCACAAAGAATAGATTTATATTATCAGTCGATAAATCGGTCGGCTTTGTCAAAATTCAAAATCGATAGCAACAGTTGCAACAGATGCTTAACTGCTAAAACCCTCATCTTGTTTTTGTTGAACCTGTTAAGATAAGAACTATATTTCTTTCCCCAACTACTCTACCTTACTCGAGATCACTAATTTCCAAGAGAAGAAGAGCTTGAATCAACCCATTCTTTTATTATAGGCATGTATTTACTTCAAAGGCATCCTCACAAGTGTTTCGGTGTACTAAATTTCTCTTCTGATGTCCTCTTACTTATAAGAATATCCTCAAGCTTCATAAATCCGAGTTGCCACATTGATCACTAAAGATTCCTCTGTCCCAAAGTGTGAAGCAACGAGCAAGACCAATTGGAACTCTACAATTTAGACACAACAAAAAAAGTTGTGACCACCAAGCTTATGATAAATTTACACTAGTCATATTTTAAACTTTCTTCATAAAATATTATGTAAAGTCTCTTCACAATATATGCAACAGAAAATAGAGCTCGAAATTTGAACTCATTTGCCCTGTATCTAAAGCACTATACAGGTTACTTGCTTAACAGAAGAGCCAGCTCCATTTCCAATGATCTATCAATTCAGTTGAGAGCCATGCCTTTTGGGAAAACCTAAAAGGTTTTAGGAAAACCATTTCTGTGATTGAAAACCCTATTGCCCACGACTCTAGCTTGACATTAACATCTGTTGACATTGATAAAAGTAGTTTGTGATTTGACATACTCAATTTTTGTTTGTTAACTTGTAAATGTATCCATATGTTTACATTAACTTTAGTATTCTTAAATTGACTAAGTTGATTTCCTTTTGCAATCAATTTCAATAGATCTTTTCACATGATATACAGTAATTTATTTACTACGTTAACATCACTATTTTTTTTCTGCCTAAGTAAACGCTCTGAATCAAACAGAGGATCAAATAATAAGATCAGACCCCATATTGAACTCTCCATAACTCTCCTAGCTAATTTGGAAGAGAAAAACAGTATTAATATGAGGGAGAATTCCATCCCCAAATCAGTCTTCAGCTAAACATCAACTATAGTTAACTAGTCACCAATCTATTAAAAACCTTTCAACTCTTTAAAAATCCTCAGGCAATATGAATAAGATCGTTCATGCTCCTCAGAAGTCCACTGCAGCCAAGGCTACTGGACATGTGAACAACAACAATGAGGACATTGTGGAAGTGCAAATTTTGGATCTCAGGGATGTTTATGAAAAGAAAACTAAGAAAGGACCCAACGGCCTGGAATATCGCCTTGAAAACCCAAAAGTAATGGTAAAGGTGCACGCCGACCTGGAAATCACTGAAGTATGTGCATTTGTAAAGAGGTGCGCCAGAGCTGCCATGAGAACCCACGACAATAGAGGTAAGATCAATTTTATGGCTAATATGTAAGATTTTAAACATCATATATTCCTCGGCCACTCCACTAAGTATATACCCTTATGCTGTTTACGAGAAATGATTACGTTTGCATTTCCACAAAAGCCATTGTAGAAGATACATGCATCGCTGATTCAATGATTTGGAGCAGCGGCTTTAATATGTTTGAATACAAAGAACAAAAATAGTGGAAGAGAATGGACTGCTCTTAAGTTGAGTTTTGCGGAAAAAATCAGTAACATGATTTAATAGGGATAGATTATGGTCTTTCCAAATTATTATAATGTTGTTTCAACCAAAGAAGAACAGTAACTCTTATACTTATTCCTCACTCGTTGAAAAAGTACATCAAGACAATATCACTCGATCTATTGATAAATCCATCAATTTTTCATCGACCGACATTGCAACATTGCACTAAACATTGCTAAGGATTCGTTCGCCTACGTGTGAAATGTATGCTCGTACTTCTTCGATATATTGGCAAGGGTTTGCGGAAGCCTTAAGGCTTTTCAAAGAATACATTGTGTTCATTAATTTAAAGATAATTACTTGCTCGAGCATGATCACGCACTTATTAAAATATTTCTGCATGATTAATAAGATATGGTTGAAAGCATAGAAAGCAAAGGTCACGAGACGCAGATTCTAGAATGATTATTCACCATGAAATCATATTCAAAGCCGGATATTTTTTTGTAATTTTAGGATGATTGGCCGCGAAAATTTGTATTCAATTTCTCGGCAGGGCTAGCTTTGGAAGACCTCTCAAATGAATATGGTTTATTGATCTGAAGTAAGAATCATCATATTTTCTTGCATTTGTTGGAAATTGGATCCGAATAAGTATTATTTGACGTGTATTTCATGAGATGCATATATTTTTCTGAGACTTGAAAATTTTGTTTAGTTCTTTTGCCATTCCAGCAAAAATACTTTGTTCACTGAGCATTACACCCTTGTTTAACTTCAAACGAAAATCAGGTGCTGTTAAACTTACAGTCAGTATTTTGGAAAAGGAGAAGAAGCGACAAGTCATTTCTGTAGATCTCGGTTCAGTCTACAAGAACCAAGATGGAGACAATTTTTATTGGTTGGAGAAGGCAGATGTCACTGAACGGAACAAATGGGAAGTAACTCTTAAGATAGATTTAGTTTCTGGACTGACAGCAAGAGTGACATCCCGACCATTTCGAGTAACGACGAAAGTGAACTACAAGAGAAACATCCAAGGTAACTGAACAATTTGGCATCCTCTACTGTCTATATATCACATGATTAGTGTTAATCTAGTAAGTACTATATACCTGGTGCTGTTAGAGTCAGAATGTGCATGATACTTTGATACTACTGCAAGTTTTATTCATGACAATTAGGGGCCCAAACTTAGGACAGGTGTTCTTCAAAGTATATCAGTTAGAGCTGTAAAGTAGTTATTACTATGAGAGAAAGCGTTACAAAAATTTCAATTTTATTGTTGATGTTCCTGACCCCATTCTATCGTAAATTCATAGACAAAAATTCCAACATGCTTTCTTACCAGTGGTGATGCATTTCAGTGAGCTCAAGAAAAACTAATCGGTATATTTTCTCTTCAATTGCCAGATTATTCCAGCGTGGGTAAAGTGCAAAACCTGATTTGCAATGTTATGAGATCAAACCAGACTTCGTCAGACAATGATCATGTTAATGATGATGTATTCCTTGAAAGCAATGAAATGGAAAAGAGTAGGTTGAAGAGAAGATTTTTTCAATTACCTATGAGTAGAAAACCCGTTTTACTGATATTTCACAGTGATCTTTTACTAATATACCATACCTGAGAAGAAAACAACCACGAAGGAAATTTTAATTGACCTTTGTTGTAGCCAGGGAGGGAGGCCTTAGCCAAAGACACAGCAAATCCTGACTCCTTCAGTTTGAACTTGACAATGCTTCGCTGGTCTCCTTTACTGCATGAAGAATTATTTTCCTTGTAAACATTCCCTAAATTAACCAGCGTTTTGTCTTTTTCTCCTCGGTTGTAATGTCTATTTGTGACCTTCTAGAAAGATGAAAAAGGTCCTAGAAGCTAAGGCCACTTGTTTGTAATAGATTGGCTTCAACCATTTTTTTCCTTATACTAGTGATCTCTTTGCTAAGCGTATCCAGGTGATCGCGATTTGCGGAAGCTACACTTTACTCTTTGGATAATGCATTATGAAATAATTGGGGAAGTTGAAGTGAAATATAAATTTCTCCATAATACTGAGTCCGCAATACCATAATTGGGAGGTTGATTTAAGTAATAACATAGCTACCTGTATAAATCTCTCCGGTCCATGCACTTTTTCAGATCATTTCAGGCAAATGCAAGACACAAGAGCAATGGCGGATGATAACGACGATAATCTGTTGACTCACAATCTATTGTGTTTTAAACTCGATGAAACAGATGACTGGTGGTCGATAGCTTCTTCGAACAATGTGAATGACTCAAGCTCAGTGCTAAGCCCTCTAGCACATGAAAGAATAATTCTGCAACCAAACACAATTCTACAGAGACCCACGGTAAGAAGTGAAAGGTATCAATAGGCAATAGGATTTCCTTACAAGAGAAGGCAACTTTATGGCTCAAGAAAAAATTTCATTTTCAATTTCTATATTTAATCATTATTTTTGGGAAAATTTCGAACCATTTGAACCATGGTCTAACAGTTTGCATGTTCGAAATGTAGAGAAAATTGAACGGTTCCAAGTGTAAGCCTTGATTACATAATTCATTTAGCTTAAAAGTTCTAAGGACAATAGTTGCAACAACACTTGTACCTTGAGTTACTTCTGAATTAGAAATAGAAACCTGGAAGGGAAACCTGGTGGAACCAGAGACACTTTTCATTTACGAATCAAAAGTTTATTTCTTGTTACCAAAATTATGTTAACATACTGTTAAATTATGTTAATTGTTAACGCAAAAATTCATAGCTAAGACATCGGTCAGGAAACATTAAAAAATCTTAATATGCTTCCGAAACCCTTCATCAAACTTGTTGAATTTCGGTTGACAATCCCTATTTTGGTTACCTATACCAGGGAACACCCCGCGATGATGGAAAACAAACTTTGGCCTCGAAGATGTGTTTACTTTAAAGTCGATATATTGTGTCATTTCATGTTTAAGAAAACCTCATTTAATTTTTGGTTTGTTTGTTTTTGTTTGTTTTGTTCTTCGGTGGGGAAGGGGATAATGCAAAAAGATGCTTGACTGTTGAGTGTTTTCAAAGGCCGGAAAGCACTAAGGGTGTGTGTACTGACGGAAAACTATAGAAAAAATTTGAAAACTTAAGCTTTTTTTAATTTTTTTTATAGAGCATGAAAATAATTCTTAAAGTTTCAGTTGTTCATTAGTTTGCAAAAGTTGATGATCGAATGCGTTTGTTGCATTTTTAGCTTGCATCATATTTCGGTCAGAAATCAGAGATCAGTTGCATTGTGGAACAACCTGAGCTTAGTGGTTTGCTAAAGCTGGTGAGAAAGCGAACTACTGGAGAGAGTGTAACCAGTAAACAAGAAAAGAAAACCAGGAGGAAGAAGTCTTTACTCGATGCAAACTACGCATGGGCTTGTGGATACTGTTTTTTCGAACGTCGCAAGAAATCAACAATTAGGGCGCATTTGATCCAAGGAGTTTGTCAAAGATCAAGATTATATAGACGAAAGTCAAAGAAACGCCGTTCCTTTTCAGCAAGAGGGCGTCTTTTAAGTAATGGCTTGGAAAATTCTGACCTCGAAAAACACAAAGGGCGGTCAAAATCATGGTAAGGGAAGCGTATAAAACCTCTGAAATATGAACTTCTGGATAAAAATGTAAATCATGATACTTGTCTACTATAGCAATAATAACAACAACGGGCTTAATGCGGAAGCTTGTGTATGATTCACCACAAGTCACTAGGGTTATTCCAGAGATATATGAACCAAAACGTGTTGTACGTTTGAATCCGGTCTTGCAGGTTGAAAGCCAGTCGTTTGTTATTTTGCAGAATGCATGGTACATAATGGTTAAGTTCGTCAAGTAGGATAGCATGACATACTGAATCAAAAGTATCCTTTAAGCACTATATAAAAACACACCACAATAAATAAGACATTTGTCTATATTTCTCTGAATGGTATTTTCTATGCAAACACTTCCATGTTGAGTTGAGTGTTTTCCTCGAGGCCCATACTGAGAACGTTAAGTATATCCTCATTATTGATAAAGTACAGTACTGTGCAATGTACATCAATTTTGCAAAAAATTATGTTAAAGTTAGAAAATAAATTTATTGGTTTGTTGTTATGTCTCAGTTTCATCATCTGCCTTGAACGTGGGTAATGTATGCGTTTTTGGTTTTGCTGAATGTGGCCTAAGTAAAGCAAATAAATTTAAGATATCTGCTGAGACGCTTCCTAAGACATCACTTTCATAATTCAATACTCCCGTGAGACAGGAGTAGAGGCTGTACGATGCATGGTTTGGAAAGAAAAAAAGTTCCAATTGACTTTTAGCCGGAATGATGGGTAGCCTGCAGTGCAGGCGTCTTGTTAGTGCAACCTAACGCTAAAAGCTCGCGATCGTTTGTTCCACCGGCCATTTTTAATTTGCAGTTTGACCGTCGACCGCCCCCTTGGTATAAATTTTTCCTCTCCCCAGCCTTCCGCTGCCATTAAAATCAAAGATGGCAGCCATAATATTTGTTATGAAATTACTTAGCACTGGCTAGCCTAAATTACGCCTGCTCTGCAGGCTAGAATAATGGGTCGAAAAAAGAAGAATGAGTTGGATGCTTTACATTAGATTAAGAAATTGTTGAAAGAGTTTGGAGTTGTAGGTAATTCGTTTGTTTATTTATTCCCCGCAGAAGTGTGCCTCCAGAATACTGGGTAAAGTCATGGTTGATTTCGCTAATGTTTTGAAGTCCATATGAGCGTGGGTAGAGTGAGAAAAGTCAAAATTAAAATTTCCACTGAAAACTGTGGGTTATTGAAACCCACAAACCCATTGGTTGTTTGAAACTGAGTATAATGTTCCCTAACGAAGCTAATAATGCAAAACTGAACGAGATAATTGTTAATGTCCACTGTATTTTCACTTGTTCAGGATTGTTTACAAAAACACTATCGATATGAGGCTAATCAGTTGTAGGAATAAAATAGTCGCTTTGGCGAGCCAACAAGAAATCCAGGCAATACCGTGGTCTTAAATTTGAATAGATCGATAGATAGATAGAATCTCTTGAGATATACGGGGTTGTTTTGGGTTGACAAAACTTTCCAATGCTTTGAAACGGTCCAAAGAGTCGAGTTGTCTGCACGTGGACCCACAAATTATGTTTTGTTTGTGACTAATGATATTCCGGCCCACATACATTGGAATGCTTTTGTCTGAAAGACTGTTTAACAAGGAATTTCATCGATAAACATTCCTTCTTCACAGGGCTTCTCAAATTCAAAACATGGCATTGTTGGAGAGCAATTGACAGGATTTGAATTAGTTAACGTTTACTTTAATGTTTAAAGTAAAGATAATCATCATGTCTTCCAGTCAAGTTTAATAAATCATATAAGCTGAAAATTTATTGAAACCTTGTGGTGCAGCACGGGTCGCCAAAGTTATTCTCGAAATATGTGAACCAAAAATGTTGTTTGAGTCCGGGTTTGTCAAGAAGGGTAGCATGATCTACTGAATGGATCATTTTCTGTACTTCTATTAAAATAGAAAACGCACACACACACCACACCACGTTAGACGTTTGTTTAAGGTTTGTTTGTTTTTTTAGCAAAAAAAAAATACCAACCCACATAGCTTGGAATGCACCATTAGATATTACCTCTGAAAATATGTAGTTAAACGTTTTATCAACAAACATTCCTTCTCGTTTAGAGGGCGTAAGAAATTATTCTAATTCTTAACCTGGTATTTGATTTAAAATGGCAGTTTGCGTTTCCGTAACACTACAAATATTAAAAAAGGAATTTAGTTCATCCAAGAAATGAGTTTGAAGAATTTCAATGTACTATCTCTACTTTTGACATTATTATGCAATATCGGAAGACTGCTATTATAAAAGAGTCGTTTAAGATTGACGAAAATCTCTCAATACTTTCATCAAAATAGTCTGAAGAGTTGAGTTGTCTGAACATGAGACTTAGTTCAACCTATGAATGAATTTGATAGTTCTTAAGATATCGAAGTATTATACATAAAGGTATATCACATTATTATGGAATATCAAGATACTGCCATCGATGTCTTCCTCATTTAACTTGTGTACAATTTCTTGAGAGCCGGGAGGAGGAAAATATCAGCTTTGTTATATAATGAATCAATAAATTTATTTTTAAACTGGGTTAAGATCATTATGTATCTTTGAATTCAAGTTAGATAAATAAAAGTCACTTAAGCTGGATAATTTGTCCATGGAGTTTTGGTCTTACTACTGGTAACAGAGCATGATAAACAGTTAGAACTTCCTTAAAGTTTAAGATAAGCAATTCTTGTGAGGATTCTTAAGTGAATTTTGACCTAAACATCTCTTAGCACTGAGTCATTTAAAAGAGTTCCACAATCTAGCTATAGATCAAACAAGATACTCATCCATTCCGGGGTTGTCATTTGGAGCAGTGGAGATGGTTAATTAATTCTTTCATCCTCAGGTTATCCATAACCTCTTTGATTGTAATGTCATTGCTTAAGAGTCTTCCTTTTTACGCAGAAGATTGATTCCACAAATTCCACGGCCGAAACCACTTGTAAATGTAGCTTATGTTAGGTGTCTCTCGCTAAGGATGGTAGTTCCAGCGGGCGAGAAGATAAAAGGCGGACTGTACTGGTTAACCTAATGTTTATAGAAGTGAGTGGGCCGAGAGCATCCGCTGTAAGTTAATTTGATTTGTTCTTTGCCGCATTATATGTTGCTGTGGCCGGTCACTATCTGAATTGCTTAACTAAACTCCGTGGGCAATATCGATATCAGAGAATGGTATTTTAGCTTCTGTAACATTAAGAATGCTAAGGGAAAGTCTCGCCGTTTCCATCGAAGTTTTCATATTGCTTAATTTTCTCTGGAGCCCACTGTGAACATTAGCCTTGTCAACACTTCTTTGGGAATTTGGGCGCCATCTTGTCCTTAATAAACTCCAGAAGGACGATTTGAAGGAATTTTAAGTAAGTGAACACAGTTTGATTCTAGTCAGGCGAAATTGTAGCAATATCACAAATGCACTAGAAGATTTCAAAAATGTTTTGCTTTGGGCAACTTACTTTGAAGATGATGTACGACGCATGCAGCAATGTGGTTCTGCGGTCAAATAACTTAAATTTGCCCAAAATCTTGGGTAAACCACTGTAAATTATGAAAAAGTTTTTCAAAATGGGAGGGAATTTAAAACTCATCGAAAAAGGGGAAATGAAGAGCTCAAAGGCTAAGTTTAGAGTATTTTGGTGGACTTTCATAGGTCCTATGAAGAAATGGCGCCAAACTATTGACAAGCTAATGCGAATTACCTAGTGTACACGATTTCTAGAATCTCAGTAATGTCTGCTACAAAAAGCAGAAATATTCAAAGAACGCCAGAAGTTTCCAGAAGATGGAAAGTAGACTGGACGGTGTGGAATCCAATTCGTTAAAGGCGATTAACAACATTTTGACTGATGGTTATCAATACAAGATCTTTGTTTGTGATTCCACAGGAAGACATTGAAGCTTTGCCTCAGAATTTTTTCTGGGTACATGACAGACTGATAATGCCTACAGAGTTTCCCTGTGAAATTCAGAGCGTGGTCAGCGACAGCAACATTTCAATTTCAAAGTTGTTGAGAGGATGGCCCTTATGTGGCGATCAGGTATAACATAAACCCACTTATAGCGGATGCAATTTGCTTACTCTCCCCGATTGAAGTTGGGGAATCGCTACATTCAGCTATTTCACTATACGTCTACTGGAGCTACTAAATTGAGTAAATGATCTTTCTGCGTAAATGGAAGGCTCCACAGTAATCAAATTACACTGAAACGAAAGAGGATCTGGATGACCCAGGGATAAAAAAATGAACCAATTCCATTCCTTTAAATAGGGGCACAAGTAAGCATCTTGTTTAACCCTTTCACTTCCAAGATCTCATTAGTAATTATCTTTACTGTCTGCCGTACAATTCCTATAATGTAATTTTGGATAATTTAGTGTTGGATCAACTAATAATCCCCTAATTAATATTTTTCTTTATTCTTATCACTTCTACGCTTGATATTGTAAGGAGAAATTCTTTCTTGGTCACTCATAAGAGTTAAAGGGTTAAGTGATCTGCAGCTGCTGATCTTCTACATGACTTAGCTTTAAGAAAAAAGCTCATGTCAAAATACGGAAAGGTATCCTTTCAATTACTAAAACTTAAGGGAGACCTTTAAGTACCGTTTACCATTGTTAGTTAAATATAGTGTAGACCACAGCATTCCTACATGAATTATCCAGCTCATATATGACTTTGATTTATTTCTTTTAAATACAGGAAACGATAACGATCTTACTCTGAACAATAATCTAATGAATCATTACATACAATTTCTTCCTTAGTCGCCATCAAGAAATGAAAAAACAGGTCAACAAAAGATGAAAAAACAGTCTCTCGTAATATTCTCATGAGTAGAGATCAAACTTTGAAAATCTTCAACTGTTGGAGTAATTAAAATCAAATGCCATGCAGGTAATGAATTTTAATAAGTTCCTACGCCCTTTTGAGGTGAAGGAATGTTTGCTTTAATTACATATCCTAAGGGAAAACCGCTAATGATATAATCCAAACTATGTGGGTGGATTTTATTTCGCAACGTATCAAGAAATGGTCCGTAGTTCCGGGTCAACTTTTCCATTAAGCATCAAACAAAAGTCCTGAATAATTGGTAGCCCTAAGGGACTACCAAGACAGAAAAACAAAACGCAATTGGTTTCGTGTATAGACGGTATAAAACTCCCTATTGTTACATTTATTTTAAAGAAAGCAATCACACATTAATATATGAGGACTACGTATCCTCTCGGTATAGCCACGATTCCTGAGTCGCTCTCCAAATTCAAAGCTGCTATCCCATTCCTTTTATTACTAAGCCAAACAAGCCAAATAGATCGTTTCAGACAAATTGAGTCACTATTATCGACACTATTTTTGTAAACAATTCTGAGCGAGTACAATTCAATAAAAATTGATTACTGATTATTTTGATAATAAAAT